GCGGCCGGGGGAGGCGGAGGAGGGCGGGAAGTGATGCACGCTCCGGCTTCCGCCTGCGGCCCCGGCTGCCCTTATGGCGGTTTATTTGACTCCGCGGTTCAGGAGGCTTCGAAGTCAGAGCGAGTTAGGGCCGCGGCGGGGCTGTTGGCGGGCGGGAGCGAGCGAGGGCATCAGCAGCTCCGCAGGGCAGAGAGGAGCTCCCCCTCCCCCATAAGTCGTGGTTCAGGGAGGCCCGGCTGGTGGGGCTGTTGGGAGCAAAGGGTTGAGGGGCAGGCGGGGTTAATGTATTGTAAACGTTGGGCTGCCGTCTGCTGAGCTGAGAGAGGGGTAGGTGGGGGAGAAACGGGACGGGAGGAGCATCTCCGCTCGGTGAGGCTGGGAGAGCTGGCACTACCGAGCCTAGAGGAGAGAACGCTCAGGGGGATCTCATCAATGTCTGAATGTACCTGAAAGGAGACTGCAAAGAGGACGGAGCCAGGCTTTTCTAGTGGTGCCCAGAGAGGTTGTGGGTGCTCCACCTTTGGAGATACTCAAAAACTGGGCATGGTTCTGGGCAACCAGCTCTGGGTGGTCCTGCTTGACCAGGGGAGGTTGGACCCAGAGGTCCCTGCAAGCTTCAGCCATTCTGTGATTGTGTCGTGAATTAATGTGTATGTGTGCATACATCCAGTATGTGTGGTAATAACAAAAAAACCCATTTCTTGCCTGTTTCTGGTGTCTTTTTGTTCTCTTCCATTGACTCTACCTTAGAGGGTGTGAGTCAACTTAGGAGGAGGACTGATTCATGAAGTGTCACTTTCTCTTTAAGCTGGTTTCTGAAGAATTTAAAACAAAATTATATATATAATTTCACAGACTAAAAATATTTTTTAAAATAATAGAGTAAAGCTTTATAAACATCTGTAAAATGTTCATATAAATATTTTGCAGATTGTGATGGTCCTTTTCAAGCAACTCAGCTGTGGAATAGTATTATTCATGCTCTTCACAGTCAGGTGGAAATCAAAAGACGTAGACAACATCTGAAAATATATAAAAACTGTTTCACTGGCTCAAATGCTGTTGATGTGGTACTGAGCCATCTTATGCAAAGCATGTACCTAAGCTGCAATGATATTTCTCGGCTGAAGGGAGTCCGTGTATGCCAAGCGTTGATGGATCACAAGGTGTTTGAGCCAGTTGGAGCAAAACTTTACTTATTCAAGAACGAGAAAGAAACAGAGTTTGAAGACACAAACACTAGTCTATATAAATTTGTAAATAGCAGTCTTACTCCGCTTCTTCCAAGAAAGAATAAAGACAATGAGAGCTTTTCTCCTGAGCAGATCTGCAAACAGAAAACAAAAAGATGTCCCAAGTGAGTTACTCTGAACTACTCTGGTTTTTTTTTTGTTTTTTTTTTTTTAAAAGTTAAGGTGGGTTAACTGTAGATGAAGTTGTGTCAGTCTAACCCAAGTATTGGAGACTTTTGAAAACTATGTGCCGGTTTTGAGAAATGTCAAGCCTAAATTGCAGATGCAACCTAATATTTCTTGGTAATACTAAACTGCTTTGTTCTGTCCTTTGTTATTTAGAATAGAGTCTGGCACAGTATCATAAGCCTAGGAATCATTTTATTTTGCAATCAGTTGTGCTGAAATCTGAGAATCAGCGTGAATGAGCTACTTGCTGGAAGCTGGTAAAAGAAATGGAACTAATAAACAGTACTTGAAATTAGTATCCTTGCCCTTTCCACAAAGCAGATGTGAATGATTGGTTTTCCAGCAGCAGGGGAGACCCCAGATACAATGAAGCCCTAAAGTCCTTATTTAACAGCAATTTAGGAAGTCACAGAAAGATAAATGTGTCCTGATCATATTTGTCATACATCTGTTTTGTTGTGTTTTTTTCCCCCCCCAAGCAAAACAAAGTGTGAAACAACGCTTTCAAACCCTTTAGCATTAGAAGCCGCTGATAAAAAGAGGGTAGAGGAGCTTCTTCGATCAATAAATATTAATGGATCTTTACCTGCAAAGATCATTGTTAATGAACCAACTCATCTGCTTTCAAAAAGAGGTGAGGATTTAATTTTTCTTTTTAAAACTTGACTGTTCTTCTATGTATCTACTTGAAGTACATAATTTCTGTTAAACACTATCCCTCAGAGTCCTAAATTTAACATGTCACTAATGACAAAATAGCTAAATGAGTGCTAAATGGATAAATGCTCATAGTAAGTAAACTGAAGAAAACAAAACAGGATTAAGTTTTTGCAGGATGGTGCTATTCTATTCATGCAATAGGAAATAGTTTTTAAGAGTGAGTAATCTGTATTATTCCTTTGCTATTCACTTCTGTTTTCTTGTACGTATTACTAATTAGAATAGGTTATTACTAATTCTGATATGATGAGGGAGGAAGATGTTTTCTTTAAAGCCTTCGTTCTTAGCATTCCTATTTTGATCCCTTCTTCTCCAACATGGAAAATTCACACTGTGCTGTTTTCCTTGCTTTCTTTGAACACTTAAAACATTCAACAAAGTTTAGTAATGTTTTACATGAGATCTAATTTCTGAGGGTGTGGTTTTGTTTGTGTATGGTATCAGTAATAGAAGATGTCTGGAAACAGCAAGCTCTGCTACGACTGCTGCAGTTAATTGATGTTCCGCTTCTAGAAGATATCTTGGTGTCTTCAGTGAAAACAAAACGAGACTGTTTTGGCAAAGAAGACCTGATTATCTCAAATACTTTCCTGGACAGAGAGATTACATGTAGCTTAAACTTGCCTGAGTAAGTTATGCATCTATAAAATGGATTTGTTAATAAATTCTTTATTTTACTCTTGATCAAAGATTTGTGTTAAGTGAACAAAATAGACTTTCATACTTGTAGGCAGGGGTGGCATTAATGTACCTTCCTTTGACTTCTAAAAAGAAGTGTGTGCAAGTTTTAATCCTTGCCAGGATGAGAGAGCATGTTGCCGTTACCCCTCCCCCACCCACGCCGGTCGGGCTGGAAGTTAGACACAGACCCCGGCTAAAATAACCAGAAATTTTAATACAACAGAGTGATAGAACAATCTGAATAACAACAGTATCAATGGTAACAACAATAAACAGCAATAACAGTGAACAAGAAATACGATATACAGAGAAATACCGCTAGCTGGTCTACGGAAAGCAAAATTCCCTCCCGAACCCGCCAAGGAGCAACGAAAAGGTTCCGCCCCCGGACCTGACGTCAGCATGGTATGAATAACCCGGCTGGAGATCCCTTCCCCCCCTCTCTCTCTGCTGGGGAAAACTTTACTCTATCCTGGCTGAACCAGGACAAAGTGGTAAGCGACTTCACAGAAAGTGTATGTTTAGGATTGGATGCTTGAGGATTTTAAGTATACATTAACAGTTTAACCTCAAATGTTGAAAACACTCCTAGTTTGTAGAGCAGACACTTCACTCTTAGGTCTCTATAATGGATATTAGAACTCGAAAACACTTATTCTGATGCTTTTTGTTTGTTTGTCACAGTTCCTGGTGGTGGTGCTGTGAAGACATAAAGTCAATAAAGCATCTGTTGTTAGCCACAGAAAAGGAGAAGCTAAGCTGTAGCACTGAAGAATGCTTATATCATGAGACCGTAAAAGAGAAAGTGGCTGCATGTTGTCAGCGCTATTTTCCTTAAATATTCTCTTATTTTTGTAGTGTTCCTATTGATTGCACTTGGGCTGATCTCTATCTTGGCACGTACTTTTAATGAATATGTCAAGGCATGTCTCCTCATGAATGTATGTCTTAGTAATGCTTATTTCTGTCAAATCAATACAACTTTTATCTGTGAGACAGGTCCATCTGTGTACCCAAAGAAACTCTTTCTTACAGTTTTTACATATTCTTTCTTTAAGGAGAAAATATTTTTGTATATGTTTGGATTCTTGATATAAGTTAATGAAACTCCTGGTTCCAAACTGGGTTTATGGCTGGATAGCATCGTAATTCCATGGCTTTTTCCTCCCAGAATGGCTTAATGAACTCTGTTTCTTTGGAGCTTTCTACTTCTGTTGTACTTGGTTTTTGGGTGGTTGTTGGATTTATGTCTCTTAAAATATCCATATGTGGTTCTTACTCTGTATTATTCTGTGTTAAACATTTCTAACATTTGGGTCTTTGCTAATATATCAGATGAGTGTTAAGAAAATTAAATGCTTGCTTTATTCTGCAATTACTTAAGTGGAGGGCTTGAGTAGCATCTTTGTAGTCAGTATATTATTTAGGACTGTCTTAAAGCATATCTGAAAAATGGAAAATTCTAGGTATGAAGAACAGCCACCAGTATTGCAAGTAGTCATAGGATTAATTGACCCCAATATGAAGGCAGGGGAGTAAGCATAATTTATATCTCAAATTTTCTGTCTTCAGTTTTCATGTGTCATGTCAAATACTTGCTCTCCACGTAGGTACTTAAAAATTGTAATCAAATCTTGCTTGCGATGATTGCGCTGCTCATGGGATCATAACTAAAGGGAGGGCATGATCCTATTTCTGTTTTACTGTGCTACTCCATTCATGCATCCAGGAGTTATCCAATCCTTGCTGGCTGCAGCAGCTCTAATAAAATTTCGATTATCTGGCTGTCCAGCAGTCAGTTCAAAATCTTTGTTTCTTCTCTCCATGAAAAAATAAGATTCTGTGGATCTTGAATAATAATAATCGCATTTTCTCAGAAGTTAATGATTCAATTTGTTTTATATCAAGAGAGTCAGATAAAAATAATTTTCCCTCTGCCTCCCACAGTTCTATAGTTTTAGATTTATTCTGTACAAAATGGTTGAGTTAGTGACTTTTTCCTCTGACCTTCCAGCCTCTTTGAACAGTGAGTTGTCTACCTGAATTTTAGGTTCTCCTTACACTTTGTCTCCCTAGTTAAGGGTTATAGGTAACAAATGCTTGAGAAGACTCCTGCCTTTATAGTAGGTCATATAATAAACTGCTTCCAGTCTTCTGGAATTTTAAACTATTTTTATTTTTCTCTGTTTTCAAACTAATTGTCTTGTTTCTCTTCTGTAAAGATGCAGTCCCTTGCTTTTTCACCCTGGTTAGCCCTGGTGGGTTTTCACTGTGTGTGTTGGACTTACAGTTGGGTGGTGTTTGATTTTTAAATCCTAGCTGAATCAGGCAAGTGTCCTGGGGTCAGTGACAATTTGGCATGACTGCAGCTTGTTCTGCTTTGGGCATACCTCAGGTATATTGTCTGTAGCATATGAAAACCATGGAAGTTGCTGATTTTGAGCAGGTCCTTGAACTACTATAGTGAAATAAGTTACAGAAACTTGTTGCTTTTTAAGTTTAACGCTGTGGTTCAAATATGTGAGTGGTTATTTCTATCTAATTTTCTTTAAAGGATTATATAAGAATAGGCAGAGCATTTTAAAGTAAGCACTAAAACTAACTTTTCCTTCTACAGGCTTGACAAATGGCTCTATGCTGCAATTGAATGCTTGGAGTATTTCCCAGACCAATTCATAGTGATGGTTAGTCAGCAGCTACCTCAAAGCACTAACAAACCCAGCAGTCTGAATACATACAAGAAGATTCTTTTTGACATTATAATAAAGTATTATAGTCAAAAAAAGGACTCCCTTCTTGGCACTCAGGATATTGCTGTTCATTCAGGAATTATAGAACTTATAGGTAAGAGCAACCTGAAACAAAAAATACAAGTGAAAGCTGTATAAAGGATATAACTTATTAAAGCATTAATTGACTAAATCCAAACACAATTTGCAGTGCTGTTACAGATAATACTTTAATTTATAGGTTGGAAGGGAATGCTCGAGGTTGCTAGTCAGAACCTCTGCTCAAGACAAGGACAAATTTCAAAGTTACATTCTAAGTTGCTTAGGGCCTGGTCCAGCTGAATTTTGAAAATCTTCAAGGACAGAGATTTGCCAACCTCTGTGGATAAGCTGTTTCAATATAGAAGTACTCTCATGGTGAAAATTTCTTGCTGCTAGTCAGAATTTCCCTTATTGCTGCTTGTGAATAATCAGATAAAAGTAAAATCATTGCTATAAAGTTTTCTTGTTAACCAGAATAAGGTTTTTTAAGTTTTGGATTTAGGGATTTTTTAGTAACAGAAGCTATTTGAAATTATGAAAGGGACTTTTGAGATTGTGATTTCCCACCAAAAAAGAGCTGCCTACATATGCTCACAAGTAAAACTGAAGGGTTTAATTTAAATACAAGTTTAAGATTAATCCTACCCTAAATAGGCCTGTTACTACTTCAGTTCTGTAGAGTTTATGGAATGTTGTCAAAAGTTTCAGATTTTAGAGAACTATGACAAGCCTACTGGCACAGGAGCACAGTTGCCTATGTAAAAATTGGAGCAGAGTGGTGTATCCTGTAGCCAGAACATAATGAAAATACAAAAAGTCAATATTTTTATCAGTAGTATTTTGCTAAGAAGGAAAAAAAATCAAATTATAATAGAATGCATGAAATGGAAACTATTGCAAAATTACATCATCCATCCACAAAAAAAGAATGGCTAATTTGAAATAACTGACTTAGCCACCGGTAAGTTATGCTAAATGTTCACTTTAAAGATGTTACAGTTCATATATGCATATATATTCATATAAACTAATTATTATAGACTATTACTAGATTAGAGAATCAAAACAGCCAAATGTAGGCAAGGAAAAGACTGTGTTATAATTCTGCTGAACTGCTTATTAAATATCTGCTTGATCTAAGCAGACCTGTGACTGTCCAGGGCTATTCTGCTTTCTTATTCTTGATTTAATTTTGTCATCTTTCCAACTTGAGTAGGACTATCTCACAAGCAGTTTCTAATGCTTTTTGATAAAGTGGTAGCCATAATTTTTATCACTAGCAAATTATTCTCTGTTTCAATCTATTAGTTTGTGTTGGGTCCTCAGCTGTGTTCTAGTTCATACTAGATCACTGTTAGGAGATTGTCCTTAACTATTTTACAACCATTTTGGATTCTAAAAGTTTTCAAGTAGAATCCAGTGCACTTATCCTTACTTTGTTTTTAAAGTGCTGCTGTTCTGACTAGTGCAAGAGAGAGCTCAAACTAGCTATGAACATCTACACATTCAAAACACTTTCAAAATTAATTTGAGAAGTGCTGCAGTTATCTAAAGTACAACTTAATTTTGTTATCAATATATACGGTTATAACTATATTTTCCTCAGTTGTTAAACAGTTTAAGATGGGTGATAATACAGCTTTCTTGTGAAGGCAAACGTTGCTGTGCTTGTTGCCTCTAAAATGAAGAAATCTAGAGTATTTTACTTATGTTACAGATTAATGCAGTTGGTCAAACTAGTCTATGTGGTTTATTGAACCTTTTTATGTTGGAACTTTTTTTTCCTACAAGGTTTAATCACAGATCAGAAAAACTTGAACTTTTATCTAGAAATTTTGTCCTTCGGCAATTGTCTTTCTTGCTTTTTTCTATGCTTCGTTTGGAAAGGGGTCACTTACTGTTTTGGTGTTCTTTTTAAACAAAGGTGGTTTCAAATGGCTTGTGGTACACCCCTGAAAGTAACCTCTGTCCCAGTAATAGGACAGACACCAGAAAATCATATGTAGGTTCTATTCCTGTATCTGTCCTCATCTTGCTCTTACCTTGGCTTTTTGATAGTTCCTTACTTGCAAAATAAAGAAAACTAGAATTATCATCTAAAAAGGTTTTTATAGGTGATTATTTCCTCTTCATGACACTTCCTTGAGAAATTTATCACCTAATGGATTTAAAAAGGGGGTGTGTGAAAGGACACCAACTGACCAACAACAAAAAAAACAAACAAAAAACCTAAAAAGAACCAAAAGAAGAAACCCAAACAAACAAAACCTCAAGCAATGAGAAAGAATATTTCAGCTCATTAATTACTTTGAGATGAGTCCTGAAATATAATACAACATAATAATGTCCTGTATATATTGTCCAAGTACATCTCTTTCCTTGACAAGCTGTGGGACTAAGGTTTTAAGCTTATATTGATTAAATTATATATTGAGTCTTGTCAAAAGATTTTAGAAGTTACTGAGGTAACCTGCTTTGTTTGGAGGGAACCCCCCTCCCCCAAAATAGCATTAATATTGGACTTTAAATATATGTCCTTGACTCTGAAAATGAACAATTGCACTGGATACACTGTTTTACTCCACTGCAGAAAAAGGAAAAATGGATCAAGCTCTAGAGGCATCACAACTTTATGTGAAATTGTTAGCACCAAATATCCGAGAAGAACTACATAGGCTCCTGACATTCATAGCGATTGCATCCAAATCTGAGGGCTACAAATTACGAAAACAAGTAAGTATCTGTTATATTTAGTGTGGGAAATAGTACTTCCCTATAGTAAAGCTAACTTTTTCCCAGAGTTAGAAGTATTGTTTATTGCCTTCCAGTGTGATTTGTTTTAAAACAAATATCAAGATGTTCTTCCCACTGATAGCATCCTGTTAAACTTAATCTTTGCTAAGTAAATCTAATGCTATGTATTTTCAATGCCATTCACACTGCAAGTAAACCTAATGTTGAATCTGGGTTCTTTTTCTAGTTTGATAACAGATTGGTGATCATCAGGACTTGCACAAAGTTTATCTTACAAAATAAGACATTGTCAAAACCCCAGGCAGAACTGCTGACTCAGTTTCTGATGGACAGTCACTCCGAGCTCTTCAAGGTAGCATTTTCTTTACCTCATTGGCTTTGTCATTTTAAATGTTAAATGCCATGACATGCCTTTTTGGAGATGGGAGTGGTCTGAGGAACAGAGTTTAATATTCCATCTGTTACAGTTTCATAGTACAGTCAAGTAGGGCAAGAAACTATTTCAGACTGTGGACAGCTTTTCGAGAGCTTTGCAATCCTTTATGTATATCCTCTCCCTTTATTTGCATCATTTGTGTTAAGAAAATATTTAAAATATTAAGAAATTATTATTGAGGCCTTTTGACACCTTGTTTCTGATGGCTGTCTAATCAATTTTTAGGCTTCTTAGTGTCTTTCTCCTTTAGAAGTCAGCTGACATACTTGTGTGATACATAAGATGGCTTGCTCTGTGCCCCAGCATACATGTACAGTTTTGACAACTCTTAAGAGTTCCTTTTGGTATTTTAAAATTTTAACAAAATAAAGAAAATAAATAGAACCACAAAATGAAATGTCCTTTCATTTGATCGGTTATGTAAAGATACAGATATATTTTATAGTCTCTTTTGTTTATGTTTCATCACACTGTCACATGTGAAAAAATGCAACCTTTCCAGACCCTATACTCACTTTCTGATTTCAGCCAGTGCATTTAAGTTGTGATGCTTTGCTGTTTTCCTCAGCTATAAAATTCCTCATTAAAGCACTAAACTAGATAGAGATTAACTAATTATCTCAGCTGTTGCAAGATAGCTGTAAAATGCTCTAGACATTTATTGTCTAGTTGCAAATAAGCCTCACAGAAACACTGATTTGGTTTCATTAAAACATTATTTTTGGTTCTTATATATTCATTTCCACTTCTGACCTTAGCTAAAGAGACATGGGAGTTTGGTTTTTTTTTATAAGCTCCAATTTAGTTTGAAAGTATAAAGTGGTTGCTGTGAGTTTTGTATGTGTTAATATACAACCAAAACCAAATACTTTTTTTTTTCCTGTTATTATTAAGGGTTCTGACACAAGGGTTAGGGCTTTGATTCATGATTGGAGTTGGAGCCAGATCTGACAGATGAAGTCCCCACTGCTTCACAGCAGTGACAGCAGAGTGGATGGCGGCTTTCTCTTTGCCATTCAGAGGGACCTTGACAGTCTTGAGAGGCGAGCTTATGCAGTCCAACAAGGCTGAGTGCAAGGTCCTGCACATGGATCAGGGCAATCCCATGCATAAATACAGGCTGGGAAATGAGTGGATTGAGAGCAGCCCTGCGGAGAAGGACTTGGGGGTATTAGTGGATGGAAAACTGGCCGAGTCAGCAATGTGCACTCACAACCCAGAACTGTATCCTGGGCTGCATCAAGAGAAGTGTGGCCAGCAGGTCGAGAGAGGTGATTCTCTCCCTCTGCTCTGCTCTTGTGAGACCCCACCTGGAATACTGTGTCCAGCTCTGGGGCTCCCACCATAAGAAAGATAGGGACCTGCTTGAGTGGGTCCAGAGGAGGGACACAAAGATGATCAGGGGGCTGATGACAGACTGAGAGACTTGGAGTTGTTCAGCCTGGAGAAGGGAAGGCACTGGGGAGACCTTATAGCGGCCTTCCAGTACTTAAAGGGGGCCTACAGGAAAGATGGGGAAGGACTCTTTATCAGGGAGTGTAGTGATAGGACAAGGGATAACAGCTTTAAACTGAAAGAGGGTAGATTTAGGCTAGATATAGGGAAGAAATTATCTACTGTGAGGGTGGTGAGACACTGGAACAGGTTGTCCAGACAAGTTGTGGCTGCCCCCTCCCTGGCAGGTGGGGCCCCTCCCAAGGCCAGGTGGGATGGGTCTTTGATCGACCTGGTCTAGTGGAAGGTGTCCCTGCCCATGACAGGGGGGTTGGAACTAGATGATCTTTAAGGTCTCTTCCAACCGAAACCATTCTGGGATTCTTTCACAACTGCAGTTGAGAGCCTTTTGTATTACATAAGCTGAAAAGAGTTCAAGGCCTGCACTACAGTTTTTGCTGTAGTTCAGTGGAAAACAACATCTAGAACATCTTGCTTCCTGTGTCTTTTGCCAGAAATATCAGGAGTAAACATATGTATATGTGTTTTAGTGCAATTTTTTTTGAGATTTTGAATGTGTACCTAAATAAATGTAAGTATAGATTTTTCTGCAGTTAATTACGTGATTTTAAAATTGATCATCTGAAAGCTTTAGATTCTTAAAATACAGAGGTATTGGTTTTGTAACTTTTTTCTTTGATGGATTGTATTTTCAGACTCCTTTAACTCTTCTGGAACTAACTAGTAGGAGACTTGAGAGTTTGCTAGAAGGACAAGATCCAGATATCGATTCAGGTAGATGATGTGATATGCACTTTTATATAAATCTTTCTATAAAAATCAGTTTATCATCAGTTGACTATAATTTTGTATAGACTATGTTCTTTTTTTTTATTAGAAGTTAAACATTTAAGCAACTAGTGGCTAATTCACCAAATACTTAAATTATCTGCTATAAGCAAAACACCTTTGAATATTAGAGAACATGAATTCTATTATCTAGTTTGAACACATTATAAAATTTTTCCACTAAGTAATTACTCTGGAGAAATTAATGCAAAATGTGTTTACTGAAGAGACTTGCTTATAAATTGGTTTGTGAATTTGATGTAATTTTATATTTAGGAATGATATTCTTGTATTTCTGCTACAAAACACCTAAAATTCTCACAGAACTCAGTAGTTTGAGGTTCTAATAGATGTCTTGAGCGCAGACCTTGATTGTTTAGTGTTTTGAAAAACTTTCTTCTTTTTCTGGATAAGCACAAAGTTTATTAAGAACTGAAGACTCATAGGAGAGTAATGTAGCCTAAAAGGAAGGTATTTGATACTTGTTGCCCTGGTTTCAGCTGGGATAGAGTTAATTTTCTTTCTAATAGCTGGTACAGTGCTGTGGTTTGGATTTAGTGTGAGAATAATGTAGGTAACACAGTGATGTTTTAGTTGTGGCTAAGCAGTGCTGATCTTAAATTAAGGATATTTCAGTTTTCCATGCTCTGCCAGCAAGCAGGTGCACAAGAAGCTGGGAGGGAGCCTGGCCAGGACAGCTGACCCAAACTAGCCAAAGGGATATTCCATACCATAGCGCATCATGTTCAGTACAGAAACTGGTGGGGGGTGGATCGCTGCTCAGGTATCAGTCAGCAAGTGGTGAGAAATTGCATTGTGGATCACTTGTCTTTTCTGGGGTTTTAGTTCTCTTTTTGTTATATTCCTTTTCATTATTATTCTTTTTATTATTATGGTTTTATTATCATTGCTATTCTTATAATTTATTTTAGTTTAGTTATTAAACTGTTCTTATCTCAACCCACAAGCTTTACTTTTTTTTTTTGATACTTCTGCCTATCCTATTGGGAGGGGGAGGAGCAAGCAAGCAAGTGGCTGTGTGGTGCTTAGCTGCTGGCTGAGGTTAAATCGTGACAGGTGTGTATGTGGGATGAGTGTTTTCCAGCTCATTTCTTTTACAGGCTAACATTCCATCTGGCCTTGCTGCCAAAAATATCTTTCAGCACTGTGATTAAAAGGGTTGGCTTAAATAATTTAATTTCTCTTTGACTCTAGCTTATTCCTTTTGACTTCTGTATTGCTAGTGCACTATGTTCTTAAACACTGAAGATAAACCATTAGGGAACTGAATAATACTGTTATTGTGCTGTTTAATAGTATATTTAGTAAAGCAGCTGAGAAGTAGTTTTGGTACAGAATCTTTTACAATCTGTGTTGTGCTCTGGAATGTGTCCAAATTGCTTCCAGTTCATTGTTCTGAGCATCGCATCTTGTGTAGCAAAAGAATACAGAGATGAGCAACAGAGGAAGGAGTTGCCTGTCTGCAGTGTTTTTTGAGCCTGTGTGGTCTCCATCAGTATGTTGAACAGACAACTGAAGTACAAACCCCATGCTATATTCTCGCTACTAAGTCCTGGACTTTCAATCTGTAAATGCATATAGATTCCATCTACTTGTTGAAATAGCTGGTTTGATCTGATTGTAAGCTCTCCAGCATGGCATATACCCGTATGCCTCATAATCTGGTGTCATTTTCCCTTTTCTCATGGAGGAGACAGGAGGAAAATCTTTCCTGAGAGCTACTAAGCATTCTTAGCTGGTGAACTTCTGAAGTGCTAGTGGGAGCAGGAGGGAAGGCTGGGGGTTCCTGCTAAGAAAAGGAGTCTATCTGTTGCAGAAAGGTAATCATTAGGTCTGCTGGAAATAAACATTCCTAAAAACACTGAGGGAACTCTGAGGTTGGTTTTAATCTACTAAACCACTTGAAACCACTGGACTAAAGGATCCCCACTGAAGTTTTAAGAGTTAATTGCTTTGCCAGAAGTTGTTCAGCTTTCCCTTTTAAAAGAGATGTTTTCTTGATCTGACTCTACTAAACCATAAAAAGTATTTCACGTTTGGTGCTTGACAGCATCATTGTAATAGAAGGGAAGGACACATCCACATGAAAATTTTGGCAGCTCAGGTTACCCTTCTCTGTGTGAAGCATTAAGAAGGTTGTGTTTGTACAGAAGAAATAGATTTTTTTTTTTTCCCCTCCAGGCAATTAACATTTGTTCAACACCTTGCTCACTAAAGTGTGGAGTATCTGAATTGCCAGAACTCACCTGTCCAATGATGGGGCTTGAATCCTTGCAGGACAGTACTCTACTGCATAGGTTCACAAGATTTTCATAGCTAAACATTGCTTAAGTTCCGTATCTCTCAAGCTCCAGTTCCTTGCTCTGTCCTCACCGTGAACTGCTGCCTGTTCCATCACCTCTGTTTCAGGTGCCCAAACTGTACTGAGCTGTCTAGTCACCTAGAAGTTCCTGATTTGTATTCCTGAATTCAGAGCTGTGCTTCAGAAGCAACTGTTTCTCCAAAGTATTTATTTACTTGCTTTATGTACTGGGCCTTGCAATGGATCTGAGTCACTCACAGGGAGTCACTGGGTTGTGACAACTCCAAACTGCCATTCTTGTCATGTAGTATTCTTCATTATGGCTTCTGTTTGCAAGAACTGTATTGGCTCTTTGTCTTGCAGGCTTTTGCAATACAAAATCATCTTTGATACTGCAATTGTAACTGCTTTTCAATTTTATTTTTGCAATTAATGTTTAGATGTTTGTCCATGCTCTGTGGACAGACTGTTTGTAGAGAATAGTAATCTCTTCTGAAATGGAATACCAATATACCTATGTTTCTGATCATATTTTTGAATCAGGCTCTTATATGATGCATTAAACTTAATCTGAACCTCTGATTTCTTACAAAGGCTTCACCTTCTGTCAGCGCGTGACAACTAAAGAATATGAAGATGAAAAACAACAAACAAATGAGTATCTTCTTGCATTGGTTCAAGAGATGGACAGTGACCCTGCTATTCCTTTGAAGCAGAAGAAGAAAATAATTAAAGAATTCCAAAAATACCACTCTCTCGTCTATTGTAGTGGTTGTAAAACTACATGTGATTTTTGTACTCTAAATGGTTAGACATGAATATAGCCTTTTTTTTTTTAAAAAAAAAAAAAAAAAGGTGGGGATGCATATGAAAATTGTTTATGGTACAAAACACTTCTTACATCTTTACATCTTCAGTTACAGGAAACTACAACTATTGAAATTACTATGCTGCTAAAAAGCATTAATTCTAATTAATGATTCTTTTAAGCAACATGTACTTAATCACTTTTGAGTTAGTAGTAATGGTATACTGCTTGTGCTGCTTTGAGTTCAGGGTTTGGCACTTTTTTTTACTCCTGTCCCATGACCCCATGGCTTTCTAGCTGAGCCACTTCTACATTCAGAACCATGCTTGGGTTCATAAACAGTAAGGTTTTTAATCTTTTCTATCTGTAGTTCATAATCTAACTGTAATCTAATTTTAAACAGTAGATTGACTCCTATGAGTATTGTAAAAGTGTACAAAGTGTGTCAAAAATGTTAGGAGACAGTCAGTGGGTTTTGAATGTGTGGCAGGCAAAATTCATTAGGCAGGGGAGCTGTGTGTGCTTGCAGTCAGTAATTATAGCATGTTACTCCTTCCCCACTCAAACTGAGCTGCAGCTAATCTGACAGTTAACCAAAAGCAAGTAAGAAATTGCATTTTGAAAAAACTGAGGAATAATAATCTTGGCTTAGATCTCTTGATGTACTTAATGTTTTTTAAACATGAGGATACTTTGCTAGTATCCAATTATTTGTCATAAAAACTTTGAATAGTATTTATGGATTCATAGGTCAAAGCTAGAAAGCATATTGGCCTATCTTGACACATTGGAAGTTAACTGTATCTTGACAAGGATATGTTGATTCAAATCATTAAATAAATATGCAATATAATGTTACATTACTTATTCTGTCCTCATGACAGATATTTGATCATATTGTGGACATGGAAACAGAATTGAGATTAGAAGAGACGTTTGGTCTCGTCCTACCACCCAGCTCAAAGTGGTGTCAGTTGGTGCAGGCTCCTCAGGGCCTTTTCCAGTCGAGTTTAGAGTATCTTCAAGGATGCCATACCCTCTCAGGTGAGTCTGGTCCAGAGCTTGACCAGCCTCACAGTATTTCAAAGAAACAACAAAACAAAAAATACACCTCACATTATGTTTAGGTAGAATTTTTTTCATTTCATTTTGTGCTCATTGCCTCCTGTCCTTTCACTGAGCACCACCAAGAAATACTGGGCTGAGTCTTCTTAACTCCTCCTCTGAGCTTTCTCTTCTCAAGACTAAACAATTGCAGCTCTCTCAGCCTCTTCCTTGTGTGACAGATGATCTAATCCCTTATTTTCATGGCATTCTTGCTGGACTAGCTCCACCATGATCATGATTTTTTATTGTGAATATGCTGCTTTAGGTATCTACATCCTCAACTGCTCTTCAAATGTGTGGTCAAGTTACCTGGATACCAAAGCTTTCTGAAAACAAGCTGTTTTCTTTTCTTAATTTAAATGGTTAGACTATTAGATATAACGAACTATGTGTACAGGTAGGTTGTGTTAACTTGCAAATTTCGAGTAGGCTTATTTGAATGACCTGATCCTATTAGAAGTCAGGGAATGTAATTGACTCTGTCCATGCATCCCTGTTTATGCACTCGTTATTTAACAGTGATTGTCCAGTGTAAAATAAATCATTTCTGGAGGAGGAAAAAAGACCCAAGTTTCACATTTCAGAGGTGAATGCCCCAATTACAAGACAACAGGGCCATATATTCTTTTCCTAGCATTGTGTGGGGATTTTGGTCATTGTTTCAGAAAAGGGAGCATGTACAGAAGTAGGTTATTGAGAATGGTAAACAGGAAGGTATTTCCTGATTTAAGTGCTTCTGGTGTTGAGTAGTGGGAGAAGGGGATTTTAGTTTGGATTTTTTCTCTCTTTCTCTTCGGTCACTTTACTTGGTCTCAGTCAAAGTACGGAACCTGGTAACTAGATGGACTGGGAACTGCTTTGGGAAAAACTGTATTTTTAAAAAAAATTCTTGCACTTTGTGACTTGATTAGAATTTTCCTGTGTTAATTTAAAGATGATAATAAAGTATCGCATAAAAGTGGTGAATCAGTCTATCATTTCATAGTGCTGTCATAAGGAAGAGGCAGCTCAGTGGGTATAGAACCAGGTATCAAACAGTAAGGAAATGCCTCAAGTGGGCAGCGGGCTAGCAATTCTCCATGGCTGCCAGGTGCTTTCCTTCAGTTCATGGGACAAGAAGTCAAGATTGATCTAGTTCTGCAAAGGAAACGAGAGGTTGAGAACACTTCTATTCAGCTACCCTGTCAGGAGGGTCTACTAATTTTTTATCTCCTGTTGAAATAAATGTGATCTTTTATACTGAAATATAAGGGCCTGCTGAACAGAACAGGTTACGTGAACTACAGGTGACTTTTTTATTGTTACACCTTCAGTTACATTCCAAAATTAGGAAAACTTTGTTGGACTTTAGAAAGTTCTGTCACTTATTTTTACCAATGTTTGACACAGAATTATCTGATGGGGAAACTTGGACCACTCATTTCCATTTATGATTTCTAGGGTAGAGCTATTAAATTAATTGCCAGTATGAATTTGTATTTGAAGTATAAAATTTCTGGAGAGTTTAGTCAAGGTACTTTCCAGTGCAGTCTTATCAAAGAACAAGTGATGCCACCTTCAAAGGAAGGAGCCTTCTATTCATAGACCATTCATGTTTGCTCCTACCAAGGAAGAGGTTCATTGTTGCTTTTATGGGAACAATGTCAACATTTCCTTATTTTAAGTCCCACCTGATAATGGTGATAATTTTGTGAAGCAGTTATTAAAAAAAAATAGAGGTTGGACACAGGTGGCTATCAAAATAACAGTGTGCTAGACTTACAGATGTCCTGTGTTTTCTTACAGAGTAATACAGAAGCTGTATCCAAGAATTTGTAGGTGGTCTCATGCGTTAATACCCTGGCTGCCTCTTGTGTGGCTCCTGTAGTTATGAACAGGAGGAGGAGGGTACCTCTGCCATTCCTTTCAGCAAGTGAGACTGGAAGAAAGATGCCATGAGCTGTCAGTCCAAAGTCAAAAAGATCATATTCAAGAATAAAGATCATCTGAGAAAACTATTTAATTGGGGAAGATCTCCCATTCTCTGGAGTGCTGGCTTCTCTTGTATATTGCCCTTATTTATATATATATATATATTTATATATATATATATATATATATATATATATATATCTTGTTGCCTGAGTAGCAACAGGAGCAACTCACAGGAATATGGATTGATGATCAGAACAACCTGGCTCTAAGTCCATGTGTTTATCTGAAGTTGAAGAGATGGAAGACAGACATGAGAGTATCTCTGTATCTTATTGCTGCCAGTAAGCCCAGGGGCCGGTGGCGTACACAGTGTTACCCTTGTTCACAGCCCTGACCATTCAATTACATCAAGTACCCTTGGGTCACAGATTGTCACAAAGAACAATTTTTCAGAAGATAAGAGGATCTAGTGGTGCTTCAGAGTGGCCCTCTCTGGACCTCATCCAGGATCACTGGAGGGGCCTGAAGTCCAGCGAAACCTCTGCTTAGCCCTGCCATCAACTGCCCAAGTCAGACAGTGCCCTTAGTTCCAAGCTAGGTAAGTGTACTTACTGGTTTTACTTAAGGGCAGACAAGAGAGGGAATATGAGACTTCAGCTGAGACTAGTATACTCTGGTACAAATCTAAGGCTACCAATCACCAGTCCAACTAAAAGGGCAATTCCCCTGAGGCCACAAGCTGCATCAGGCCAAGATCAGTGTCAGCACCCATGTGATCACGCCTGCCCGTCCTGGCAGACAGGCTGGCCAGGTGGGGCACCCCCTATAGCGCTGCACTCCAAGGCTTCCACCTGGCTCTTGGCTCATCCTGTTGTTCTTTTCCGTCCTGCCCGCAGTGCTGCAGAGTGATGGCCACAGTAACAGCTTCTGATGCCACCTTTGCTCTGTCAACAGAACAGGCTGGGGCATTTGTGATGATCAGAATGCATGGATAGGACAGAGGTGGGGTTACCCAGGACACAGCTGCAAGCTTCGCTCACCTCAGACAGCTTTTGATGTCACCTCTCCCGAAAGGAGAGGGAAGCGGCAGGAAACTTAATTGCTCAGCAGTTGTTTAAAACAAAAGCCAACAAAAATCCCCCTCAACCCCTTTTTAAAATAGAACTGTTCAAATTACTCTTTCCTCAAAGTCTACGTATACTTTTGTATCAATGGTCACATTTCAAGTACATTCCTCTCATGGCTATTCACTGAAACAACCAAAAATAAAACTCACTTATCTCTTTTCAGTATAGGCAATCTCACACATTTTGAGACGTGTTTAATGTCCATTCAATTGCATGTAGGAGTTAGAGTAATATTAATTTTACCAAAAAATAAAAATCTTTATTTCTTCTCACTATGTATTAGTGTCACACCAGTACAAGCATTCAATATTTTTATTGTCTCACGCATTGAGGTTTTCTGCAATACAAATACAATGAAGCTATCAGTAAAATATGGTAACATAATGAAAAGCCAATTAACATATTATTACATAGTACTGGGCTTGTAAAACTTTATTTTTAAACTCTGCAAATTTTTTTTTCCCAACCCACTTAAATACAGGAAAGCTAAAACACAATCCTAACTGACAGGTTGTAGTTCAAAGAGTTCCATTCTGAGTAAAACAATGGAATAACAATGTATCCAACAATACTACCTATATATCAAATTTCTCTTCGCAGATATTGTGTCCATGTTCTTCATAATCTTCTCTAGTTACTACCATGTCTTCAAAATCATCATTTTCAGAAATGAGCTTCCCACCTTCCCAAGAATAAGTAATAGGGCTGAAAAATGAACAGTTACTGTTACTCATCTGTACGTTCATTTCAAATAGAAGTATGCAGTGATGATTTCCAATACTTTTATTTAGCCATACCTATTTAAAAGATACATTTTTAATTGTTAAATCAAACCATCCAGTGCCAAAGTTTAAAATTTTAGCAGGGATAACTGACTTTGATTTTAAATAAAGCAAGTGCCTCTCTGGGGACAGGTGTGAAGAGGCCAGGAAGTGGCTATGTCTTTATATTTACTTTGCACAGATAATGATTCTTTAATATTTCAAAATACTCTTTAATAATACTTTTTAAAAGTGAAGATTTTTTTGTACTTTCAAGATATACTTGTTTTGTCTCAACTGTATATTCTCTGCAAAGATGTTACACCTTCCAAATCCCTGAAGTGGCTATATTAATAATGACATGGCAGTTCAGATGCTGAAAATTCTTCTACATAAAAGACTAAACTTTAATCTTGCATACTTATGTATCCACTTAATGACAATACAGCCTTATTTATCTGTTTACGATAAAAAACCTGATCCTGAAAACACTTACTTATATGCTTAACTTTATTAGCCAAAGTACAGAGCAAGCAGGTGGTCTCAAACTTACTTGGTTTGTCTGAAAATACACTGATTTAAAACATTCTTCCCATACAACTTTGGTTAACTTAATATTTAAATTAAATCCTTTATCTTTTTAATCAGCAAAAGATATCCGACTTTATAGTTTGCTCTGCTAGGACAAAGCTTGTTTTGTACAGTTTAGAACTTACTTTTCAGGAAGAACAACAGAAACATCATAATCAGTTGGAGTAAGACATCGAACTTCAGAATAAACCCTATCTCTGAAGCCCGGAAAAAGGGTGTTTCCTCCAGTCAGAACTATGTTCTTGAAGAAATGAGGCTGCATTTCTGTAAAATAAGGAAGTAAATCTGTAGTTAAGAGACTAAATATATATTTAAAGATTAAAGGTATTTTTCTCAATTTTGTTATGAATTGGAACAGAAGTAAGAAATATGTATAGAATAATTTTATGATCATCTAACAATCATGAGTTAAACAGTTTCATAGAGAAATACGAAAAAGTGATCAATCACCCTCTTTTCCTTTTGATTTTTAGAATCTGGCATTGATAACTAGTGGTATTTTTATACTGTCTATTAAATTTCATGTTTGTCAACACAATTCCCCTTTCAAAAGGGATTTTAAGAGTACAAAATAATAGCCTCAATGCTACCATACTTATGTGGTATCATAAAACCTATGAAATTCTTCTTTGTAGTAAGAACATTATTTACACATACATCATTTATAAAATGAAAGTTTTAGTATTACTTCTGACAAGCACAGCAGTCAGAAAGGTTTTATACTTGGATGCTTAAATCAAAGTTTGGAGTTTGGTCAGTTTCATTTTTATCATCTTCCAGTGAAGAAAGATATTTTAACACACAGGTAAAACTAATTTCAAGTATGTTCCATCATCAGTGTCAAAGACAGATAGGTCATGTTAGAAAAGGATGTTAAGAAGAATGAAATCTACAGCAATTAACTGAAACAAGAGTAGAAACCAATCAATTAATCACCACAAAACTGTGTTTGCTTAACAATCTTGTAGTAGACAACCAGTTCTCGAATATATGACATACACCAGAAGACAGCAGAGTTCACAACAACTTAGTAACTGGCATACTGAGTGTACTAACTTCTTAAGACACTTTGGAAGCTTAAAAAAACCCAAACTAAAACAAACAGAAAAAAAACCCAAACCAACACAACACCCTACACATACTTTTCAAAATACTTTGAGGTTATACCTTCAGGTAAATTCTGAATAGAGTAAACAATGGCTTCAGGAATTCCCATCTCTTGAATACCAATATCCGAAGGATGGAAGAGTATTTCTGGAACTGCAAATCTTTCATTTGTTAGACGAAGTATTTGTTCACCAGTCTTGTATTTTCCACTTAACACCATCTCTTCCCTTGGCTAAATTAAAGACATGAATAGTAGCCACTGCTTAAGAAAAGAAACTACATCCTAGAGTATTCAGCTAATCTTTTTCATGTACTGCAGAGGTAGGCAGTATATTCTATGTTAAGTTGTATTATCAACAAATCTTTTAAGAATACTACATACTCTGGTATTAAATCTGAAATTACTTTCCTTTTATTTTGCTTTAGGCAAAACTGCAGATATACATGAGAGTAGCCTT